TTTTCGCAGTTTTGTCAGCAGTTGGCTTGCGTAGGTGCTCGTGTCTGTCACCGACCATGTTCGGTAAATCGGAAATCTTTGTCACCCTTCGTGTTGACACGTTGGCTTACTCAAGCATTCATTCCGTGTTTTGATTGGAGCTTCAACACACACACACACACACACACACACACACACACGCACGCACGCACGCACGCACGCACGCACGCACGCACGCACGCACGCACGCACGCACGCACGCACGCACGCACGCACGCACGCACGCACGCACGCACGCACGCACGCACGCACACTTCGTCCTTCATAGTTGTCAAAAACACGCCCCTGGCAAGCTTTTGTTGCATCTCGCCGTGGACCGCTAGAGCGACACCATGGGATCTGCGCCCATAATCAGCTAAAGGAACGATTCACTATCACGCGACTCTGTGTGTGGACGGCGCCGGAGCAATGTTGTGGCTGTGGCTGGGGCTCCGCCAGCTGGCGTGCTTTGGTGACCTGTGGGTGAACCAGAGATGTTGTTGTGTCGCCCCTTGTCCGTTGTCTGTAGTCGTGTTGTGCCGCCGATCCCAGACCGGTGGCTGGGCAGATTGCTGCCGAGCGAGCTCCACTGTACACTGACTTAAAATTAAAAACGCCTCAGCAAAAGGCGCCAGAGAGACTGGAAGGTTTTTGACAAAGTCCTCAAGGAGATCAGAATCAGTGCAAAATGTTGATACCATTTGCTTAGGACACATCTGTCCGTCTGTCTGTCTGTTCGTCTGTCCGTTCGTCGCGTTTTGCGTAACGCCGTTCACGAGCCTGACGGTGGGTTGTTGAATGGTGAAATATGGACACAACGCGCATGTGCACCAGGCGGTTTTCCACCGGTAGATCGCGAGCCGCTGCGGTCCGGGGTTCGCGCGTGGTATGTGGTGGAAGGACCGCTTTAGGCCCAGAAGTTGTGCACGGATGGCCCGAAAATGTGGCCCTCAACGAAGCCGCCGAGCAGCCGCTCAAAGCTTTAGTCTCATCTCGACAACTTGGGGTCGGAGCAACACAAAGTTAACGCGCTTGGGTAGATGATTTGATTGGTGCTTGATGATTGATGAGTGACGATTAAGAAGGGCATCGCCTGTTGGCAGTTGTGCGGCTGCGCGTATCACGTGTACCCACGTACACAGAACCAGCCAAGATGTTTTTGGCCGCTTTAACGGGTTTTGACGTTTTGCACTGTATCTCGGCAGGCAGAATGTGTGTAGGCGCGAATCTAAATTCCAAGCGTCGACCGACGTACCGTCGTCCATTTATGTGAACTATTCCGAGTTTATGCGATGCACGATTGCGACAGGATTCGTTGGGCAAGCCGGGAATGTCAGCATTTTGGAAAAAAGCGGAGCCAAATACACTCTCGAAGCTGTAGCCGGAGTCGTGGCGAAATGTATATAACCGCGTGCAACGATTCATTGGCTGTATTTACCAACCATCTGCTGGTCATTATGTACACTGTCCCGCCGTCCGTGCATCGACCGTACTTAAGCGGTCGGAACTCCACATTTCGCGTCGCCGAAATTGCCGCCGGTTGATTGCCCGCTCAAGTATTTTAAGAAAAGACAACGGAACACGCATGCGCCGTATGTTGCTACAGTACGACAGTCACCATTCAATCATTCATTTGATGAACATCAGAGGGTTCCTTGACTCGTTGTGTTTGCATCCCCGAGATCATACAAACACAACGCCAATATACGCCCCGTCGCCTTGCGAAGCAAGCCTGGAAGCATTTCGTCAATCTACCGTAATTACTAAAAGATCCCCAAGACGGCGGCGACGGTGACGCGGCGGCGGTGAATCAGGCCATTACGCATGCTACCGGCGTCCGGCAGCCGTCAGTTACTCATTCATTCCCCCCCCCCCCCCGAACTCCGGCCAGGGAATCCCAGGGAACGCATCCCGGCATCATGCCAACACAACGCCCATGTACGCCCCGTCGCCTTGCGAAGCAAGCCTGGAAGCGCTGCGTCAGTCTACCGTAATTATTAAAAGATACCCAAACGGATATCCCGAAATAGTCCATGGAAGAAATCATATTGCACCTAAAATTCTGAATTCTGATACATTGGCACCGGCTCTGTATGTCTCGTACCTGTCTACAGCGAGCTAGAATCACTTTTGAACTAGGGTGGGAGTGAAAAATTTCATCGTGAAAAGACCGTACTAGAGTGAAAAATTCAATTCACAAATAAAAGATATTATGAGCTAGTGAGAGATACTTCAGCAAAGAAAGATATGCATTTCAAGTTGGCATTGGCGTAATATCATAACCCTGTTAAAACTCGTTTGTTTTTTAACATCTTAGGCCATTCAAGTGAAACAGAATATATTAAAGCATAGTGATTTCATAGCAGTGTAATTAGCATAAAACACTATGTAACGCCAACAATTGTATGCTGCGTTCTGCACTTCCCATCCACAACATTTTTTAACACAAAACAAAACAAAGGAATTCAACAACAAAACAACAGCAGAAAATGCAACAAGCATAAAGCACTAAAAAACCTTGGACTCCTACACATCAGCCCATCAGCAAGTCAAGCACAATAGACTTACCTCTGCCTTCTGTCAGGATGGGGTTAAGGAAAATAAACATTATGTCACTGTTTCTTACAAAATTCCAATGCTTATTTCCATGAAAGTAGCCGAACTATGCCTAACGTAAAGAGGCCTTGCCTCATGTCATCCTGTCTAACCTGTTTGTATCACATCAGCATTTGGGAGTCACTGATTCTTGCACAATTCCTGTTGCACAAGCCATGCAATTAACCATCTTAACCTAACTTAGAGTAACCCGTATGTTGAACATCATTTCAACTTACCTCACCTATCTGTCGGCAGCAGCACTGGTAATAAAAACATGATAAAGCTCATTTTTGGCTAGTTTCAACTTCCACTTTCATTCAGTGCATTTGTGTCAGTTTGTTGACACCAGATGAAATGGACAACACACATGTCAAAACACTTCAAATCACTTTGAACGATTTATTCTGATTGCCATGCTGAACCTCTGCCAAAGGCAATAATTGGTATGCTCCACAAAGCAATTCCTCTTCTCCAAAAGCAATATAACTTTTAGATGACCATACCAGTTTTGCTGCTCGTTTTTCAGCTGCAACAAAGGAATCTATTTAGATTTGTTTATTCATATTTAATGGCAAAGTTTGATATGTGAGCTTCACATTTTGAATGAGATGGTCTGACTATTTGCTACATGCTGATATTTACCTCATATAATAATTGTTATGTAGCTGATGGTATCCTTGTGTTAAAAACATGTTGTATATATACAGTACAGTCATTGGCCGGTCAGCAAACCATGCCAACCATGAACAAAATCTGGTTAAAGTAGCCATGAGGGGGTGTTTCAAGAAATGTGAGGCAAGTAATCAACAATATGGAACCAAATAAGTCAATTACATGTATTGTGGCATCATAATTTGTCTTATGACAAAAGTCGATGGACTGAAACAGAAAAAATGGCTACCTCTAATTGCAAATCATGTGTTGAAAGCAGATAAGGTGAGCAATTACTCGCTCCACAGGAGTATTACCGGCTTTGTAAGGACACACTTATTCGTGTTCCCTCAAACAAAAAGTTATTACCTTTCCCATGGTTTGCTGACAGACAGGCTCATCCCATTCACCCCCAAATATAAATATAAATCATGCCCACCAACCTAAGAGATTAAAATGCGAAACAAGTAATTGATGTGCATGATACACAGTTCCAAAAAGGCAGAATTTCGCCATCAAACGCTCAAGTATTAGCTGCGTCAGGTCTGTCCCAAAACAATGTATGGCAGCATGACGTAGCCTGGTGATGTAGACACTGGAAAGGGTTTGGATTTGTTATTATCGAGCACCGCCATGAACCAAAAAACGGCTCTAGGGATTCAACAAGGCAAGAATGGCGGTAAAAATAAGTTCCGTGCTTCAGATTGTGTCCTTCATTCGCTGTGAATTGTTTACTCCTGAGTGCATATCAAACATGTTTGGGCGGCTGGCGAATTAATCCAATTTGTGTATAAAATACGTGCAAGTTTGCAGCTGGAGCATTTTGCAGAGAATTTGGTCAACATTTTAAGCAACAAATGGTACATTTAAAGGCAATCAGAAGGGAAGCGAGATTAAGTTGTATCTCACTCATATGATACCAAGAAAAACAAAAGTGCTTAGATAAATACAAAGACTGCTGTCAAGATCTTGTAATCAGCCGAGTTGACATGAAATCTGTGAACTTGAATGCTGAAATGGTGATATTCATCTTTTAAATTTCATTTAGAAGATATTTCTCGAATGTTTCACTCCTGCATTTCGGGAGTGATGCAATTTAGTGGTCAAGTTTCTTCGGGTGAAAGCAATACGTGGAGTAAAATTATCTACCAGGCTTTGCTGGTGTTTGCACCAATCTCCGCTTTCGTGGTGTAGTGGTGAGGCCAAAAAAGTTAGCGATGCGTGAAAGCCTTGCATTTGGCACACAGCTGTCAACTGTGATGTATTTTGGAAACAAACCAAATTTGATACATGCAAGCGGATGGAGTCGCTGGGGCTCTTGGTCTTGAAGGTACTTGGCGCCCTTGCTCTTTGCATACATAGCCATGCTTCATGACTTGATGGTAGACTTTGCAAATGTAATAGATGCAGGACATAGCCATAGGCGCCCAGGTTCTGTGGAGCCTTGTTTATGCATGGTGGTTTCAAGTGAGTTCGGTTTTAGAGAGGGGGGAAATCAGAAAGGGATATATGGGTTTGGCATCTGCGATTAGACAATATGAGGCAGTAGTGAAAATCCATGTAAAGTGTGGGGAAAAGGAGTGAAAAATTTCTCCTTATAGGATGTTGCTTTACACCTAAAGTCGCCAATTCTATGACACGGTCTGTATGTGACGGTGTCTGGCACGGCCGACCCCAGCGGTTGCCGCAACCCTGACCTTTGGTCTGACCGTTAACCTGTGGCTACCCGGCAGGACCCGCCCAACTGCGCCCTGCACGCCCTCACCCTGTGTGAGTCGGAGCCGATCGCGTTCGAGACGGCCTACCAGATCGTCATCGACGCCGCGTCGCACATCATGACGTCATCCCAGCTCTTCACCATCGCCCGATACATGGAGCACCGCGGCTACCCGCTGCGGGCGTACAAGCTGGCCATGCTCGCCATGAACACCATCTATCTGGTGTACAACCACGTGAGTGGCGGCTGGCGGTGCCTCGGAGTGGGAGGGAACCTCGGCGGACGGCTGCGCCCGTCCCACCAGCGTGGACTGGTGCTGGTACTGTCGGCGCCGACCGGCATTGGTGGCGGTCGCGGCGAAATCGAGCCTGATGTCTGTATGAGACGGGAAGTCGCGCGGTGTAATGAAAAACAATGCAGGGTCGGCAGTATTCTATAACGGTCGAAATCTTCCGCACGGTTTCGGAGTCCACGGGGTGCATCTGGGTGGCATGGGAGTCTTGTGGCTTTTTTGTGTTTAGAACAACGCGGGGAGCCGCGCGATCTGGCGTCAGACACCCGTTTCAGCGAGTCGGGCCACTGCACTGGTCTACATCTTTGACGAGAGTTGTTGCCATTGTCCAGCACGGCTACAGAATTGCTGCGACCAAGTGCGGCACGGATTGTCGGATGTTTTGACCAAGCGCGACTCAAAACGCTGTGTTTTTTTTGTGTCCCTCTCCCCCCCCCCCCCTCCTCCCCCAGTGACGCATCAGCAGCGCCGACGCGCGGCATGTGACATGTTATCCCCGACAGTGATCAGATAGACGTGGGGGGGGGGGAGGGCAGGGCGTATACTGCCAGACGCGATTTCCAGCCAGATCCGCCGCCGAACAGCTGACTGGTGCCCCCTCCCCTTTCTTGTCGGTTCTGCTTTGGTTAGTCGGCTTGTGGTGGGGGGATGGATTCGAGCCAGCTTACGTCGGCGGCTGTTGCACACTGGCCGCGCCCGTCGACTCCGGGCCGCACGGACGGCCTCGCGCGGCCGCATCCGTCGGCTTAAGACCGCCCGACGCGCCATGGATCCGTTGCTCTGCGCGGGTAGAGTCGTGTTCCGACCAGGAAAAAGACGCGAACAAAAAGAGCAGTCGGCTTTGGGCCCAGTCGCGTCCGTCAGCATGCCGAGCGATGGCAGGTCGTCAGTATGGCATACTCGGGTCGATTTACGGAATCAGGCTTGGTGAATGAGAGTCAAAGCATCGCTGAGATCAGTTCTACCTGGTGGGATGACTTCAGCTCGTTTAAGCAGGCGTTTTGTCAGCCCCGCATGTAATCTGAGAACAGGAGAGCCGGCGTCTGCATTGCGTTTGCCCAATGTTCCCTGCCTTCCAAAACATTTACTATGCTTGGTACGAGCACGATTTTCACCAGCTCTGATAAATTTGAGGCCTCCACATATGGTCTTGGGAATCTATTCAGCACCTGAACTTACCATTCAACTGTAAATAGTTTTAGCGGTTAACACCCGCCCGGGTGGCCGGTTGGATATCCTTCGCTCGGGCGGGGGTCAGTTTGACCCCCCTGAGATCTCAGAAACTAGGAAAGCTGGAGACACCAAATTCTTAAGGTGTATTGACCTACACGTAAACTCACATAGGTCAGAGTTTGAGGTTCCTAGGTTATGACCTTTGGGCCAAATGAGGTCAAACAAGATTAATATCCATCTTGGTCCCCAAAGAGCTCCTTGAACCTAAATAACTGTTCGAAGAAAATGGTCGCGCGTGCATATAAGGTCAGTGAGCTTTTTGACCTTTTGAAGGTCATGTTGACCAAAGTAATAGAAGACTGCTTGGAGTTTCGGATAAGCGACAAAGATGACGATGGTCAGTGTGTTCCTAAAAACAAAGTGTCAACCTGGGTCATTTAAGGTCAGTGACCTATTCTGACCTTTGAGAAGTCAATTGAAGCTGTATAATGCGTTTCTGTTATCAATAAACTCGAAATGAGCATCAGAAACTATCCCACGTAGCAAGCTCCAAAGTAGCAATGCGGGTTGGTATGACCTTGGTCTCACTTTCATACCTACCCCTAGTTCAGTGTAATTTGTTTATTCATTTGTTGTGCTGCCTAAGAAAGTATCTGAGGGATGTGTGACTTCGTCTAACACTCCGATGTTGGGTCGGATTGAACGATGCCCAGAAATTGCCCTCGCTAAAACTGTGGCCTGGTTTTGACCCGCCATAGGTCAACAACCGTACCAGGTGAACCTAATTTTTCATGCCAACGATCCACTGTTCAATTGTCTACAGCTATGCAAAATTTGGCGTGACCGCGCCGCATCGTTCGAAAGCCATTCCGGAAAAAACCTTTGAGGGGTCAATTTGACCCCCACCTGGGCTCGCGTTAATGTTAAGCACCCGAGTTATTCGTTTACCGGTGGAAACGTGGTACGTAGACATACGTTACTTTGTTCGGTGTTAGCGACATGTTTTCTTGCGTCATCTCTTTCACGCCTTGGTTTGCACTCCCACCACCACGATCACTTCATTCAACCAACGCTCAAAACAGAGCACCGCGTCTGGGAACGCTTCAGCAGAGCGCCGGGGGTTCGTCTCACACACACTGGGGCCCGTCTCACACGCCCCGCGCTGTTTCAGGACACACACCCGGCCATCAACGACATCCACTGGGCGTGCGCCCTGAGTCACTCGCTGGGCAAGTCTGAGCTGTCAAGCATGGTGCCGCTGCTGGTGAAGAACGTGCAGTGCGCCACCGTGCTCTCGGACGTGCTGCGCCGCTGCTCGATGGCAGCGCCCGGTCTCTCGTCGCCGGACGCCAAGCGGCGGCCGGCCAAGCCGCTCGGCTACGAGCGGCCGCCGCTCAAGGCCCTGCTGGAGGCAGCCGTGGCCGCCTACGCCAACACGACCCACTCGCGGCTGACGCACATCAGCCCGCGCCACTACGGCGACTTCATCGAGTTCCTGAGCAAGGCGCGCGACACGTTCCTGCTGGCGCCGGACGGTCGGGAGCAGTTCGCCGCTCTGCTCGAGAACATGCGCACGGCCTACAAGGGCAAGAAGAAGCTCATGTGCCTGGTGCGCGAACGGTTCGGGTGATGCTTCCGTTCGTTAGCTAGCTGCTGGTGATATAGTCAACGATCTCAGACGCGCGCACGGCGGCGCGTGTGACGTCATGACGACGTGGTGCCTTGGCGGCCGCGGGCGTAGCGTGGGTGGATCCGGCTCTGGGGCGCACTGGGCAGGGTGACGCACCGGCCACTGGACCGCTCCCGGCTGAGGGGCGCACCGGCCGCTGGACCGCTCCCGGCTGAGGGTCGCACCAGGCTCTGGAACTCTCCAGGCCGAGGGGCGCACCAGCCGCTGGAACGCGTGAGCCGAGGGGCGCACCAGCCGCTGGAACGCGTGAGCCGAGGGGCGCACCGGCCGCTGGAGCGCGCGGCGAGCGGCCGCCTTGCTCTGCCACGACCAAAGATGTACAGGGCCGGCCGGCCGTCTCTTCCAGGGCCGCACGGGCCTGTTTGGGGCCGGGAGGTCGCTGTACATAGGCCGGGCGACCGGCCGCCGGCGCGGGGGGCGGACAGCAATACCGCAAGCCGGCCCGGGCGCGTTCCTAGTTTTCTACGTCGGCTTTAGATGGGCCGACGGTGGCGACGTCGCCCCGCTTGTATGTACATCTGCGTGTCCACGTGGGGTAATATGTGCTTGCTGCTGGTCGATAGGGGCACCTTTGCGTCAGATGACGCTCGCCACGAGAGGACTGAGTGGGGCCGGTCGTAGTGTGGGGTAACCCAGGGCATTGTCGTGTTTATACCTCATTTTGTTCGTCACATGCCTTGTTGGGCTATCCAGCCCGTGGGCGTTGGCCCCGTTTATGTTACATATCCCTGCTGGTGTTTTGAACCGGTGTTGTCGATATTAGTGAGGCCGCTTGTTCGCGTTCTATGCACACGGACTAAAGTGCCAGTGTGTGGTCGCCACGCATCGTTTAGATTGTTCATCGGTTCGGTCGTCGCGACCACTTCTGAAGTAGTCTACAAATGCAGTCCATATCCTGCTGGAAAGTATGGAGAGCTGACTGACCTGACACTGGTGTATGGTTCGGTTCGATTTCCATTGTGGCGGTGAAGCTGGCGCCTGCAGCTTACGGTTTTCTTCCTTAGGCTTCAATGTATTATTAGCCTTTTACGGCTGGCTATCCATCCTCTTCCCTTTATTATGCAATCAGACATGTGGGACGTTGCCGTGGCGTCAAAAGCGTACCGACTGTTCAAAACACGCCACGTCTAATGTAAATGCGATCTGAATGACTTGCAGCTGCCTTGGTGCACAGCGTTCTCGTGCAACTTCCGTTCTCCAAGATTCTTTGTCAAGCAGCCAGAAGTTTGTGTAGAGTAGCAGAGGACATGTTCCAGAATGAACGGCAGCATTTGACCCGTCCGGTGGCTGACAACGCCTTTGCGGTTGTGTTTGCCTCCGTTTCTCGGAATGGGGTCCGCGAATGCATACACGGCTCTTAATTCTTCAGGGGGTTGTTTTGTAACTTATTGTTCTCCTCGATGTCATCTTGTTTATTGTGATTCAACATCTTGTGAAGTTTCTTCCATAAGAAGTATGCATAACCCCTGTCCTTAAATTGTATGGAAAATGCAATCTTGCGCAAGTTTTTGTTGTGTAGTGGTTCTAGAATATTTTTGTATGATCTCATGTCGCAATGAAATACATGTTGTTAATTGCCAGACCTGGGCTACGTTTATCATCTGATACCACCACCGATGAGCTGGGCTCGAGATGCCGTCCCCGGCCTCTGGTGGTTCGGCCGGGGACCGTCAGCATGCCAGCCTGGCTCCGGGGACCGTCAGCATGCCGGCCTGGCTCCGGGGACCGTCAGCATGCCGGCCTGGCTCCGGGGACCGTCAGCATGCCGGCCCGGCTCCGGGGACCGTCAGCATGCCAGCCTGGCTCCGGGGACCGTCAGCATGCCAGCCTGGCTCCGGGGACCGTCAGCATGCCGGCCTGGCTCCGGGGACCGTCAGCATGCCGGCCTGGCTCCGGGGACCGTCAGCATGCCAGCCTGGCTCCGAGGACCGTCAGCATGCCGGCTTGGCTCCGGGGACCGTCAGCATGCCGGCTTGGCTCCGGGGACCGTCAGCATGCCGGCTTGGCTCCGGGGACCGTCAGCATGCCAGCCTGGCTCCGGGGACCGTCAGCATGCCGGCTTGGCTCCGGGGACCGTCAGCATGCCAGCCTGGCTCCGGGGACCGTCAGCATGCCGGCTTGGCTCCGGGGACCGTCAGCATGCCAGCCTGGCTCCGGACTCGCCACGACACAGGGGTCGGATTCGTGGGCCACACCTTCCTCGGCCCATTCAGATTAGATCGGAGCATGGGTACTACACTGTCTTCACTGATCGTCGACTGGTCGGCGGCAACATGAGGATGACATGCATGGCGGTAAATGAGTGAAGATGATTGGTGCAAAGGGACTGAAACGTTAACATCAAACAGAGCGGCAACTAAGCATACGCGGACAAACGCGTCACCCATCTCAGCCATCGCATTACTGGCGCGCCTGCGCATCGCAGCCATTGCCTGTACTGCCGCGCTCACGCATCCCGCAAGGAGTACTCAGCGCTGCGCCGAAGAGTGATGCCGAGCGTTCCAAGAACTCTGCCAACCCCCCGTGAGGCACCACCTTTCCTTGGTTTGGGGCATTGTGTGTCCCAATGATCTTGCGGGCGGTTTGGGAGGCTTTTAAAGCGCCCCTTCCGGCCAAAGCGGAGAGGCTAAACGAAACGTGCCTTCTGCAAGGGCTCTTGACTCGTTCAGGGTAGGGATTAGCAACGTCTCGGCCCAAGCTTTTCAGTCTTTTCGAGGCCTCGCCGTACCCCGTTGGATCCGCAGGTAGCGGTGAAGGGATCCTAGTCACTGAAGGAGTTGCCCTGCGGATCATTTGGGGCAGCTTATCAACACGTGGCTTTGGCCCCAATTTGTTGTCCTGCCGATGCCTCGTGAAGTTTCCGCACGAGGAGGTGGGCTGGTCAGGCGTGTTTTCGCGACACTGGCTTGGAGGCAAGCAGACCATGGATGGGTGTTGAAGAGGGATGCGTATTGAAACTTCCGGAGTTCATAAAGTCCCACACACACACACACACACACACACACACACACACGCACGCACGCACGCACGCACGCACGCACGCACGCGCGCACGCACGCACGCACGCACGCACGCACGCACGCACGCACACACACACACACACACACACACACACACACACACACACACACACACACACACACACAGACCTTGCACGGTATAAGACTGGTGACTGACTCTTCTATATATTTGGCTCTTTATTTCATTTCGGCACCTCTAACACTTTAAATCAGAGCAAAAAACACTAGCATGCAAACTAACAGCAAACTTTTCACTGGACAACACTCACAGCCGTTTTGACTTGGCAACAACAAACAATGTTTTAGTCGTGCGGAAGACATCATTAGCACCACACACTGTGAATAACACAATCAACACAGCAAATCACAACACTACATGCCAATCGCCCAATACCCGCGCCATTCATCAGTGTCTTGTTCCTTGTCTAAGTGATTTATTTGTGATGCTGCTCCAAAGAGATAATTCAGTAGTTGATTTATTTATTTGCTTGGAAGTCGTTTGTGGTTAGGAATGAGTAATGTGCCCAGAATGTTGAGTTTCGTTGTTTTGTGTAGATGATAAAATTGCAGTGTTTTGTGTAAGCGCTTGGCGCGTGAGGAGAGTATTGTGGTCGGGCTGTACGCGATTCCTTGGCGCCCCCTCCGTGAGGTGCTCTGTGAGACGTCGGAACAAAAATGTTGCAGTTACACCATTGCAGCATACGGAACATTGAAGTAACACCTGGCAGCGGTTGACAGAAGGATGGAAATGACCACGTATCGAAATCGGTACTTCCCAACGCTTTATGAAGTCGATGTGTATGCGTGTAAAGGGTGTCCACTTCCCGGATGTTTCACTAGTGCAATTTTTATATTAGTAGTCGAGACTGATTACGGGGAGGCGCAATGGAAAGCCGCAATGGCGTAATTTCTTCTGCTCGTAATGCTGTAGCTATCGAGTCCGTACAGAGAATCAACTGGTCAGCCAGCCAAGTTGCATTGGCAAAACGTTTTAGTCAGCAGCTGAAGCCTACGTCTCATCCTGTGGTCCCCAGCGACTTTTAGTTTAGTGATAGCCCCCAGGACCGTACGGAGACCCTCAGAAGGATGCGTCACAACCGGTCCCCTCCCCGATGCGGCTGGCCCTCTAACTGAGACATCCAGCAAGGGATCGGCGCGGGAACCCTCGCTGATGCAAAGGGACTCTTTACTGGCACAGGAAGTCAAGTAATTGGTATCGAGACACTAATTAGCCTGATCGGTCTCTGGTTGAAATGGTGCAGAGGATCGCTCGCCCGGTTCTGTTATCTCTGGCTGGCACAGGCCTCTCCATTGTCGTACTGTACATGAGAACCCCCTTCTGTCATTTCTCATGAATCCTTTGATTGTCAGGAGGGTCCAGATTAGCGCAAGAAGTCCTTTGACACACCCTATCATTATTCCTACTCAGCAAATGAAAAGTAGATTCAGCAGTACATTCAGCTGACCTGGGGTTCATTGCCGCCACATGTTGTCCTGCTAGGGACGGTGGCCACTGACCAGCAATGTGGGTCCTTCATTGTTTCAGGTGTCCCGACGAGTGAAGGCTGCCTTCTTATTAGCATTTAGAGATATTGGCCTTGTTGTTGCTCCGGAAATAACCCCTAGGCCCTAAAATAGCACGGAACGGACTGTTCGATATGGCTGTTCTCAGCCAGTTGCTTCAAATAGAGACACAGTCGTGCGGGTCTCCGATCAGTGCTAGAGCTTCTCTTTCCTTTCAGGGTCCGGCCTTCGGGCTGCGATCCCTCCATAAGACCTCTGGCCTGCCTTTCGGACACCGAATCAGGCTCTTGGTCTTCGGCCCCAAGGGGCCAAAGAAGGAACTTCGAAACCCATGGAGCCCTCTGAGCCTAAGGGGGAGGTGGGAGAGTCGTGCTTAATTCGGTTCCCCGTGAAAATGAAGCTTAAGGGGCCATTTTAAGTGCCCCTGGAGTCTTGCATCGCTTTGAAATGAATGTTTTGACTGATTTTGGTGTTTTTATTTAAATTGAAGGCTGATAAAAACTGTGTTATGGCGCCCCCTAATCAAGGTTCTTGCTGCCTTTTCACCGAAGGAGCCGAACCAGGATTTCAACAGTGTAAGGCAGGGCTTTTGTGGTGCCCCTGTATTTCGGTATTCCTTGAAAGGGAAGTTTTGGACCACCTTCAATTGTTCTTTCAACCGTCCACTTGCATTTGGTGTCTCGAGGAAATAAATCCAGTGGAGGAGGCTGTTAGTGCCTGTTTCCCTGAACAGTATGCCCCTTCCCTGAACGGTCTGATTGATAATTTTTCCAAAGTGAAAGGCACGCCGATTGTAATGCCGCTGGACTTTGGTGCCCTTTTAAAATTATGGTTTTGGGCTCTGTAAATGGCCCGCTTTGATTTAGTACAACTTGGCAATCAATATGATATTGCCCAGAAAAGACGGTTCTTGTGCCTCTTTGCCCAAGGGTCCGGTCCAGGATTTTATCAAGGCGGAAAGCTCAAAATAGTCATGCACCTAGAATTAGTGTCTCTTTCAGAATAAAGGGTTCGGGCTCTTTCTGCTACATTCTGGAATCGGGTGCT